GCTGGCATGTGGTGCTGGGGATCGAACCGCGGTCCCTGTGCTTTGCCAAGCTTGTTTCAAGTAGGTGCTTTAGACCACTGAGCCATCTCTCCAGCCCTAAGAATAGTCTTGAACACGACACTATACCTAGCATAATAAATAATATCTATTATAATGGTTGAAAATTATTAACATTTTGGTATCAAATAAAATCAAGCATTAAAAGAGGCTAACACCTTTTCATAAAAATTGGTTTCATTTATCTGTGCACACTACCTCATATGGTTATTTATTTATTTATTATTATTATTTTTTTTTTTTTTTTTGCAGAACCGGGGATTGAACTCAGACCCTTGCGCTTGCCAGGGAAGCGCTTATTCCACTGAGTCATCTCCCTGGCCCCACACTACCTCATATGCACATAATTTATGTGTATATTAAAGTTTTTTATATAAAGTAACAAACATAACCTTTGTACTACAATTCAAATTTTGTTAACTATTTAAATGTTGTTTAAAAGGTTTTGGCCCCTCTAGTTCCCTTTTCCTATCAGATCTGAACACTAGTCTTGGTGGTCATAAAGGAGGAAAAGGAATCCTGAATCTGGCCTCACAGGCTTATGGTCTGATATGTTGCATGTGGGCTAGTTTCAAACAAGGTTAAAAAAAATAATAATAAAATAAAAAATAAAAGGTTCTGGTGTGTTATAAGTTACACTGAACTTTGCCTTTACAGGTGCAATTGTTTTTAGGGGAATGAGGAGGGATGCAAAAGTTAGAGAGAAATTTGTAAATAAAATAAAAATAATAGTAAAATTGTATTAACTTGGAGAGAATAGATTTAAAATTTCCATGTAGAATCTCTCTGGATTAACAGAAAAAAATACACAGTAGGAAGTAATCCAACTTCTTTACAGATGATAAAATAGAAAGCAACCTAGTGTCTCTTAAAGTAAAACTTCTACTGTAACTCAGCTGTGACTGACATTCATTAAAGAAAAGTTTCTAATAGTTTTGTGAGGAAAAAAAGGTAAAAATGATTATCATAAATCCCAGACCATTTGGGAAAGCATAACAATATATGTTCATAAAACCAAAAGCTTTACAAAGAAAGAAAAAGAGAAGGAAGAAAAAGAGGGAGGGAAGAAAAGAAAGATTCCTTAGTGCTGAAATTTAAATCTGAAATTTAATGAGGGGTGGAAGGTGCTGGTGATATAGTCCCTGGATTCAATTTCTAGTACTGACAAAAAAATCAAAATAAATTAAGATAACAAAAATAAAAAGCTAAACTTTAAATAACTTTAGCTTTTTTTAATAAAGCAAAGCTGAAAAGAAAAATTTTTAATTCAAAGTCCAAAATAAAATGAAAGCTTGTAATAAGAAAGACTTAGTAATAAGAAGCACTATTTATGGGCCAGTGAGATAGCTCAGTGGACTAAGCACCTGCTTTGACAAGCACAGGAACCAGAGATTCAATCCCCAGTCCTGCATACTGTGCTGGCTGCAACACCCCCCCCCCCCCCGGGTGCGCTGAGCCAGCAAATGAGTCTGGGCACAGTACACGCCTGTAATCCCAGTGCTGGGGAGGCTGAAAACAGAACAATTACTATGAGTCTATGAGCTATGTAGTGAGACCCTGTACCAAATACATTAAATAAAAAAATGTAAAAAAAAGCACTATTTAAGATGTTAGTGAGGTAGGGTGCTGAATGTGCTATGACAGTAAGAAAATCTCCAAGGGTTAATTTGAGTCAGTAAAAGAGAGAGGAAAGTGTTTTATGCTTTATTTTTCTATTTATATATTAATGTGAACGAGTAATGCACAGTGCATGGGCTATTTTGGTAGATACTTGAAACAGTATTGTCACTAATAAATAGCATTCATTACATGATCAAACTACAAATTGGTATTTCGCATAAGCCCACATGTTTAAAAATAGTCAAGATCAGGAGTAAAAGTATATTTGAATTTTGAAGGGATTCTTACTGGTTAGATATAGTCTATATATTAAGGTAGTTAGAGACTCGCACAGCACATTGGAAATGCAGCAAGATAGGTATAAGTGCAAGTTAATGACATATGCTAAATAGTAGAGCTTAGCAAGGGTATGTATGCATGTATGTATGTATGTATGTATGTATGTATGTATTTATTTATTTATTGGCAGAACCAGGGATTGAACTCAGGCCCTTGCACTTGCCAGGCAAGCACTCATTCTACTGAGCTATCTTATTTTATTCAGACTCTTTAAGTAATCAGTGCTGACAGAGAACAGCCACAAAACCTTAGTTTTATGGGAAGGAGATAAAGGTAGTTCTAGAATCACACACCATCTAAGTACCAAAGCACATTCAAATACCATGGTTCTACAAACAAAGATAAGATCTTTTGATCACATCAATGGTCCCCATGTGTTTACTGATACTTCTTATTTTGACATGTAAGAGAATAATTTCCATAACTGTCTTAAGATTCAAAAGTAACTAGCATGGGGGAGTAAGAGTGGCTACCCTTAAGACACTCAGATTCCTCAAACTTCAAGAAAGATCTGTTGAATCTGTAGGATCTGCAGCAAGATACTTAAGAGTTCTCCAAATGCCTGCTTACCAATCATTTTGTCTAAGATCACAGCTAGATACACATCAACATTAATAACACAAATTACTTAAAATCTGAGAGATATAACCGAAACTGTTCAGGCCATCTCTCCCCTTCAAACACCAACACTCTCTTACCTTGAGAGGTGGTACTTTTCGCACCTGGACTCGGTCCCCTCTATTAAGAAAGGGCTGTGGCGAGACCTGAAATGGCTGCTGGTGCTGGCGATCCTCAGTGACACGTGGCCTTTTCTCCCAGCTTGCAGGGGCCTCTTCCTGAGTGAAGGAAGATTTTCTCTTGAGGCTTTCTGAGCTTTGCTCACCAAGAGGTGCCGGAGGTTCCTTCACACTGATCTCCTGTGGGCCTGCTTCTACTTTGGGCTTCATTATTGCTTTTTCCACCCCAGGACTCTTGGGTTTACTTGGGCATGTAACTAAAACTTCTTGGCTTTCACTTCTGTTATAATTAGAGGCTTTGGCGATATGATTCTCTTTCTCAGACTCCTGTTCAGTAAGGGCAACTGGCTTCTGCTCCAAGAGATCTTCAGCCTTTGGGCACTTGATGGGAAGAATGCTTAGCTCATCTGTATTGCTGGCTGAGGCAAGGAGCGGCTCTGAAGCTTGGATGTCTGGCTGTGCCTCTTCTTGTCTTTCATGCTTTTCTTTTCTGACTGGTGATGGCATCTGCACTGCTTCTTCTTTACATTCTGATTGGGGAACAACTGGGACTGTTCTGACAGGTGAGCCCTCTGAAGGAAGCATGGATTTTGGTTGCTCAGCTGGGGTTTTCTTTACTTTGGGATCACTGGGGGAAGACGTCAATTTCTTTGAATCTTCAAGGCTCAATCCAGAACTAAAAAGTGAAAGAAAATATTCTAGTTGAGAAATGCCCCAAGTCATTGGAGGCATGAGAAAATGGAATATGACAATTTCTAGGACTACTTCTAACAGATAATAGTTTTTAAATTTCACTGTTAGGGGCCGGGGAGATGGCTCAGTGGAATAAGTGCTTCCCTGGCAAGCACAAGGGTCTGAGTTCAATCCCCGGTTCTGCCCAAAAAAAAAATTCACTGTTATTGCTAATAAAGAATGTTTTGTGGTCAGAGTACTTAGATTCCAATCCTGGCTCTGAGACTAGCCGTCCATGTGTTATTAAGTAACAAGCCTGCTGTACCTCAATTTTTTTAACTACACACTGGGGATAGTGACTTTATAGTGTAGATACAACACCTAAATTACTTCATACAGTGTTCCTACATGGCACATATTGAGAACTTAGTAATAGTGGTTACTGGTATTAGTGCTACTTTTTTTTTCCCCCAATAATTTTACTGAGAAACAAATAGTAATGAAAGTTTCAAATCTGATTAGGACAGTTTCAATAATTAATACACTGCATATTGTTGTCTTAGATTAGTGCTACTTATGAAGTGGTTACATCATCTAGAGGTATGCATTACAGACCACCTATAAAGACCTGAAGAAAGTACCTACAACGTATATGCTGGAATTAGTATCTTGTTTACAAAACTTGTCTTAATATTACCTCTGACCATAGTAGCTTTCAAAGAATTGTTCTTTCCATGGCTCCACTTTTTTCTCCTTCTCAATCTCTTGTCGAATTCTCACCTGCATCTCAGGTGTAAATTCACCTGCAATACAAGAAAGGAATGATACTAAGTGGGAATGTGTTATTTGTAACTTTTAACACTATATAAATCACAAAAGGCTCATGCAGGAATCAGAAAACTATCATGTAAAAATAAAACTTTCTAAAGAAAGTCATTGTCAAAAAGACCTAAATATCACTATGTGAAATAAAAATTAGTTAGCATACTAGTTTGAATAATAGTTCCAGTAATCAGCTAAGCATCTTTTCTCAGCGCTTTCCCTGTAGTACTTCCCTTCTGCTCTAAATATTATATTCCATACAGATATCTTTAGCTCCAGTCTTCACTTCTTATTTATTTCCAATGGGAAAAAAAGTAATGTGCTTTAGGTAAATAATGCCACTATAAAAAGTTAGATTTCTCCATGGAAAATTGTATTTTAGGCCTTTTATCTCTTTAACTGCATAGTGAAAAGCTTCAGCTTACTTAAAAGCATATGAGATACCAATAAAATGTTAATTTTCTAATTATTTCTTAGAATTATTTCTAATTATTCTCAAGTTGTTAATTTTCTAATTTTTGTATAAACTGCACCATTCTAGGGCCGGGGAGATGACTCAGTAGAATAAGCGCTTCCCTGGCATGCGCAAGGGTCTGAGTTTGATGCCCAGGTCCGTCAAAAAAAAAAAGAAAGAAAGAAATTTTACCAGTCTAGTGGCATAGCAATAAGACAGTCAAGATGCAAACCTGGCTGCTCTGAATATTTCATTCATTTGCATATACCACCAACCACTTCAATCTTTCCCACTCCATCAGTAGAGAATAGAGAATGTGCTTGGTGGGCAATCTTCACTGTTCAGATAAGTTGCTCCCTTTTAACCTCAATACCCAAACTGTCAAGAATAAGAGGAAGAAATGGCAGAATCTTGGGGGTAAGAAGAAATAAAAGTATCAGAAGACTGTGGATATCATAGTCATGAGAAGAGAAATATGAAAGACGACTTTGGGTATCAGAATCCAACCAGCATAGAATTTCTGGTGCTGAATGAGGAATTTCTGTGTTCTGCTGTGTAGAATGAAGAAACAATGTTCGAAGCTTTTCTTGCTTATAAAATACAATCACATGACTAGAGTAATCAACTAGCTCACCTTAAAAAACAAAAGCAACAATGATAATAACCAAGGTATCATTGTTGATAACACCTACGCATGACAAAAGTGGGGTTGGGCAGTTTAGTCTTAAAAGTACTAGTAAATTGTATATTTTTAAAAGTATTTATGTATTTCAGCTATTTCAAGGAAAATGGGTCTTTACCTAAGGAAATCTGAAAGAAATGACTGAAGGAAACAGCAACAGATCCCTTCAACAGAGAATTTCCTCTAGAAGATGGTAAGACACAATAGGGCTGAAGGTCAGTAGAAGAGGCCCCTGGATTCCATCCTCAGCTCCATCCCTCAAAAAGAGGCCAGGAAAAGTTAATAATAATGAATATATATATATATATATATATATATATATATATATATATATATATCTCCTGAGGACTTAACTTTAGTTGTCAGGATTCAGTAAAAAGTGAGCGACAGATAGCATCCCTAACACTCTTTTTTTTTTTAAACATTTATTTATTGATTGATTGATTGATTGATTGATTGATTGATTGTGTGTGGCCAGCTCAGCCCACCAGGGGGCGGGGCTGGCTGGCATATGGTGCTGGGGGATCGAACTGTGCTTTGCCAAGCTTGTTCCAAGTAGGTGCTTTAGACCACTGAGCCATCTCGCCAGCCCCCCAACACTCTTAAGAAATAATTTTAATGCTCCTTACATGTTTTAAGCTATTTTTGCACAATCATATATGAATTTCCAGGTGTTATTTAGTATTTCATGTGTACTGAAAAACAGATGTAATATTTGAAGTAAAAACAATACAGCCAATGGTTTTAATTATGGGTGGGTAATAGAATCACTTGGGAAAACTTCACAATAACAAAAACTCCAGCACTAATGCTTGGATAATTTTTTTTTTTTTTTTTAATGGTACCAGGGATCGAATTCAGGACCTTGCATTTGACAGGCATGTGCTTATGCCACTGAACTATATCCCCAATTCTCAGGTACTTTTCTAGAACAACTGAATTCACTAACAGTGACACCTGGAGAGCAGTGTTCTTAAGCCCCTCTCAGGTATTTCTGAGCAACTGGGGTTGAGAGCTGTTAATGCTGACAGATACTGCTGCTGGGCTCAGACAAACGATAACTCTTATTTATTCTCGGTAAGCCTAATGAATTAGGCTAAAAGCACAGTATACATGGCACAGTCCATAATTTTCAATCATAGTTCATATTTATTAAAATGTTCTGATGGCTGTTTAACCATAAACTTCAAATAAGTGAAATTTTATAATATATGAAATATATCTCAATAGCAGTTTTTTAAAAGCCCTTACTGATTCCTTTTACAGGTCCTTTAGGCTGCAGTAATAAAGAGGTTGTTACATTGCTTACCCAACTGTTATGCACCATACCATAAAATACTTCTTCAATTTGCTTATTAGGAAGCTCATTAGCTTTTCAAATCTTAGTGATTAAAGAGTATTTCTGTTTGTGTGTTTTAAAAGGGCCTCATTAAGTAATCCATGCTGGCCTCCAACTCATGGCAGTCCTCCTACTTCATCTTCATGCCCAGCTCAAGTGAACTGTTTATAAAATAGGGCCTAAAAACCTATTTTTAATTTCTCAGATGACTATGTTAATTTGGAGCTTAACAGTGAGGTCCTTCTCCTTTCCTTTTTGTTTTCTTTTTTGGCGGTACTGGGGATTGAACTTGGGACCTTACACTTGCCAGGCAGACACTTAGACTACCAAGCTATCTTCCTATCCCTCAGCACTTGTTGTTTAGTAAAACTCATAAAATTAAAATTATAAACAGGATAGCTAGTTCTACCTTCTGGCATTACCTCCCCGAACTATTCAAGTGTCTGATAAGGCTAAGAGCCCTTACTGTGGTTCCAAATTCACACAGACCCTGGGAGATCAAGTGAAGTAGAGCACCTACCTTCTGACAGTCTTTCCTTCCAGCCTTGGGCTGCAGAGGTGAAAAACTCATTGTTAAGGGCTGAGCCATTCAACTTCATCAAACCATCTGGACCAACCTGCATCAAAGAATAAACCAGGGAAAGCTTCTCAAAGATTCATGGCACTCAAAACGTTCTGAATCATGATACCAGGAAGACAGTATCAGCTGGGCATAGTGGGGTGAAACTAAAATCCCTACACTTTGGAAGCTGAGGCAGAATTGGGAGTTTGAACACTGCTTCAGGAACTTAGGGAGATTGTCTCAATATAAAAAATTATAAAAATGGCTGAGGACGTAGCTCACCGTGAAGGTCAAGGGTTCAATCACCAGTATAGCCAAAAAGAAACTGGTATCAATATAGTCTAAAAAAATTATGATTTGGGCCGGCCAGATAGCTCAGTGGATTGAAGCGCCTGCTCAGGCAGACGCAGAGACTGATTCAATTCCTGGCTAACCCAGCTCGCCGTGCTGGTCCTGACCGCAGGGAACTCTGAGATGCCAATTGAGACTGGGCATGGTGGCACATGCCTGTCATCCCAGCACTTGGGAGTCTGAAAACAAGAGAATCATTGCAAGTCTGATCTGTGCAGTCAGACTCTGTAGACCCTATATGAAAAAAAAAAAAAAAAAAAAAAAAGATTTTGGAACCATTATTATTTCAAAATACCTACAATGCTCTAAGTAACTGATAGTTACTCCTTTTAAAATTGCAAAAACAAGATGAAAATGGTTTCCCTGCCTTAAAGAGCTAGTTATGTTTTCTGCTTTACAGTAAAAAGTTAACAAAGAACAAATCACACAAAGCATTAAAGTTGATCATCTATAAATCTAAATTTTTTAATTCTAGACCAAGCTATATTTCTCTGATCCTTTCCTGAGTCTTTCAAATATTTGGTATGTCTTCTTGCGACTTTTGTTTGCAAAATATAATATATCAGTACATGGGTACTCAAACTCTTTTTTTCCCATGATTCTGGTAAAAAAATGAACGTGAGAGAAAAATCAAATTTCCCTATAAGGTCAGTATGGAATCTAATCACTGGCTAGGTGTGGTGGCACACGCCTGTAATCCCAGTACTCAGGAGGCTGAGGCAGAAGCATGGAAATAAGTTCAAGGCCTGTCTGGGCTACATAGCAAAGACCTTCCTCAAAAAACCAAAAGAAGTGGGGCTGGGGAGATGGCTCAGTAGAATAAGAGCTTGCCTGGCAAGCTCAAAGGCCTGAGTTCAATCCCCAGTTCCGCAAACAAACAAACAAAAACCAAAAGAAGTAATTAAATAATAAAAACAGTAACAATAACAATAAAAAACATAACTAGTGAATTTACTTGGCTCTTGTTTAATTCGCCTTGCAACCAGAATTACAGAAAGAACTGAATTCATGAATGAAGGTATGACTGTATAGTTTTAAACTGTCTATGAAAGTAATGTTTCCTTAGATTCTCACAAAATAATAAAAATAATGAACATATCTAACTCAATCATTGTTATTCCATTTCCTATGCCCTCTAGATATATCTATTTATCTGAATCCATGTTTTTGGGTTACTCTTCTTTTGCTGTGCTCAGGATCTAAACAAGGGCTTTGCAAATGTTAGGAAAGTACCGAATCTGAGCTAAACCCCAGCCCTAATTTTGTTTTTTTAAAAAGACAGTCTCATTGTGTTACTCAGGTTAGCCTCAAATTCACAATCCTCCTGTTTCAGTCTTCAGAAAAGCTGGAATTAAAGGTCCATGCCAATACACCTAGTCTGGCTCATTCTTTCTTTTCTTTATTCTGTATTTAAGGACAAGGGTCCCTCTACATAGATCGGACTTGTATCGATTCTTCTGTTTTCAGCTTCCCAAGTGCTGGGATTACAGGTGCATGCTACCACATCCAGTCTCAATCACCATCTCAGCCCAATCCGGAGACAGGGCTGGCATGGCATGCCGGGGATAGAACCCCTGGCCCTTATGCTTTGCCTAAACAGGTGCTTTAGTATTTTAGTCAGCTGAGCTATCAGGCTGGCCCTTTAGCATGGCTCATTCTTGACATACCCTACTGCACTGTGCCAGCGGCCCACATCCAGCTGATACTGGACAAAGACAACTCTCGCTCCTAACCCGGAGTTTATGGATGTTTAAATCCTATCAGGAAAACCAGTCAAAGTCATTCTGTAATCTTATCATTCTAACAAAAGAATTTTTTTCTACCGAATAAACTTTATAAAGCACAACTACTAAAAGCCACAAATATTTATTTAGCACCATTAATATCACTTTACATATAAACGTAAAAATTTTTAAATATTAAATATTTCTAAATATTATGAGTCAAAGAAGCCCTGTAATGATAAAAGTTGTTTATGTTTTAAAGTGACAAACCTGGGGCTGGTGAGATAGCTCAATGGTCTAAAGCACAAAGCACCTGCTTAGGCAAGCACAGGGATGGCAGTTCAATCCCTGGCACCACATGCAGTGCCAGTCCCGCCCCTAGGGTGGGCTAAGCCAGCAGGAAGGGGGGGAGAGACAGACAGACAGACAGACATAGACACACACACACACACACACACCTGTCGATCCACCTCTGGAAGCAGTAAAAGCAGTCGCTGTTGGCAATCCCCAGGAAGGACTGAAAAGGTGTGTTTGTTTATCAGTGCTCGCAAATTTGTGTTAACAAGAATGGAGTCTGGGGTTTCAACATCAATGTCAGCACATTTAGTCCTTTTCATTTGCCCTACAAAATAAGGAAAAGAATTATTTGTACTTCCCTCATAGTCATGTTTCTACCTAAACTATAGTTGTGCAGTGTAAAAATCCAGACACAGGAATTTTTCTAAGGCCAACACATCAATTCTTACAAATTTATAGAGAATAAAACAATACAACTTATCTTCTTTGTTAAAAGAACAAAATTAAAGCTAGGAACTTTTGCTGGCATTCTAAAGAATAACCACCCCTCTAAACAATACTGAGGTTTATAAGAAATGTATATATAGGAATATATATATTCATTCTTAAAAAATAGAAAACCTGCTCTGCGGATGTAGCTCACTACAGGATTCTAATTTATAGGGCTCTACCAGCTAATTCTACCTCTTGGCAACTTGCTTCTTTAGCATGAATGAGACCCTAGGTTCAATCCAAACACTGGGTAGAAAACAAAAAGAAAAAATGAAACAATCCTTAAAACCACACTCTTTCTTCTTCCCATAAGAATTTTTCCTTGCTGATTTTATCTTACTTGTTTTTTTTGACAGGCTTTCATAACCCAGACTTGCTTCATACTCACTATATAACCCAGGCTGGCCACAAACATACGGCAATCTTCTTGTCTCAGCCTCCCAAGTGCTGGTGTTACAAGTGTATGCTACCATGCCTAGCTCTATTAATTTTAATTTCATAACTAAAAGTGCTATGAATAGCTTAATCGTTTTAGGAAATCTCCAACATAAAATTACATATAGCACTGGCCAGATAGCTCAATGGACTAAAGTGCCTGCTTAGGCAGGCTCAGTGACCCAGGTTCCATCCCCCAGCCTGCTGTCCTGGCCCCTGGGGCGCACTGAGAGGTGACTGAGACTGGGTGTGGTTGTGAGGCTGAAAACAGGAGGATCACTACAAGTCCAATCTGTGTGGTGAAAGCCTGTAGACCCTGTACTAGCACACACACATATTAAAAAAAGAGAAGAAAGAAAATTACATATAGTCTAAAAGAACTTCATAGTGAACGTCAGGACTCCAACATGTCTTCTGTTGTACCACTGAAAGAGAAGATACTCTTGGATGTGAAAGTAGGGGAGCTGCCCAGCTGGATACTGATACAGGATTTCTCCGCCATGGGCATTGCTGGAGCATTTCAGAGAGGTTACCCCCAGAATTATAACAAGTACATCAACGTGAAGAAAGGGAGCATTGCAGGGCTGAACATGGTGCTGGCAGCCTACGTCCTTTTCAACTACTGCCTTTCTTATAAGTAACTCAAACATGAGCGGTAATGCAAGTACCACTGAAAAGGGGCCAGTGTGGCGGGCACTCGGCACTCTAGCCTGTGACTGCCTCATCCTGCTCCCATCTGTGAACAGCTTAATCATGGCTCAATCTGTTCATAGCCTAAGTGAGAATTAATGCTCAAAAAAAGGTGACTGCTACAAAAATAACTACAACTTGACAGGTTAGTGAATACAAGGAATAAAATGTAGATGAAAAAGCATGCAAATGAAAGCAAATTTGAGAAAACACTTTCAAATCATGACAAATGGCTACTATTCTTAATATAAAATGTCTTTACAAATTAGTAAAAACATCTAAAGAGAATTAAAAGGCAATTAATTCATATTCCACTAGGCACATACAAATACTGACTTTAATTTAAAAAAAAAAAAAAAGAGCTGGCCATCAAAATATCCCATAAATACACATAGAAAGAGTAAAAAGATCTTTCAAATACTGCTGATAGAGATGAAAGGTGTAATATAATCTTATAGAAG